GTCTATAGTCATTCTTGTGTTATACAACAGACCGTTATAAAATGTATGAATGATTAGCCATTCTTCTAAACCATGATGAGGACAGAGTCTAATCATATCCTTGTAACGTTCCCATGATTCGAAAAGTGATTCGTTATCTTTTTGTCTAAAACCGTTGATGTTAGCTCTAAGCATAGCAATTTTTCTTGGTGGGAAATATCTAGCCAAGAAGACTTTTTTCAATTCATCCCATGTGGTGATTGAATTTGAAGGAAGGGATTGGAGCCAGGCTCGGGCTCTGTCTCTTAAAGAAAAAGGAAATAGGCGCAATCGTATCGCCTCGGGGTTTACACCATTCGCTTTTACAGTGTCTGTGTACTGCACAAACACTGACAGATGTAGGTTAGGGTCGTTAGTAGGAGATCCAGAAAATTGGTTCTGCTGAACGGCGGATAGAAGCGAAGGTTTCAGCTCGAAATCGTTTCGAGCGATAGCAGGGACGGCAATGCTGTTGTGAGGCTCCGCTTGCGAAGGAACTGGGTAGTCCTTAAGAGCGCGAGGCGGATTTGGTACGTCAGCCATTGTCGATTCTTTGATAGATTCCGATAACGGGATATCAGGAATTTTAGTCGGAGGAAGATTGTTGAGAGATCGGTATTCTTGAATTCGGCGTCTTAATCTTAAGTAACGCTCGATATCGTTAATTTGTAAATGCAAAGGCTTGTTTTGAGAACGAGTGTTTGGCATACAACAGGGGGAAATATAAAAAGTTGCCTTAGTCTAGACAGCGTTGTTTTCAGATTACACTAGTGACTAAACTAAAGTCCCCGGCAACGGCGCCAAAAACTTGATGTGTGTCTGCGATCGATCTAATGTGTAACGGTATCTTAACTGCAAGTGCACAGTCTATCGCGGTAGTAATAAAAGGATGTCGAACCCACAGGGACTTCGTAATCACTCTAGTGTTGTAAAACAGGTTAGTTTAGCTAAGGCGGAAATTGTCACGTTGGTTTTTTTTAGAAGTTTAAAACTAAAGGGAAACTAAATTCGATTAAGGGAATTAATATTAAAGCGGTCGGAGCGTAATGATTTGAACCTATGCGAATTAAGTTGTTCCTAAGCATATAAAAATATTTACTTAATTGTTCTGTAGTACTTATCAGTTTAAAAACCCTCGATTCACACTCTCGTGGTCTTACCTCGGATCATACTCCTAAAGCCAAATGTCTGCTCTCGCTAGTCCATAAGTGTTTAGAAAGCATATTTTTGAAAACTAAATAAGTCTAATTCGTTTTAAAGTGCTCTCGCTGTATTTAAATCGAATGCCTAACTTTAGCTATCCGGTTAAAACCTCACACTCTCGTGGTCTTGATTTCTCCCTATTTCACTTTCTTTACTCTCGTAAATAAAAGCTTAATTTTTAATTATAAAAAATCACGGCCAGAAATTAAGTTGATTAAGGTTTTAGCTTAGAAAAAACATTATTTTATTCGGTTATTTCATCACACCCCGACTACGGGTATTTAGCTACTCATAGTACTAGGAATTAAAAAACAGGAAATAAATTCAGAAAACAATAGTGCATGCATCATAAATAAAGAATAAAAATATAACATAAATAAAATTTCAATTATATCAAATACAATAAAATCAAATACAATAAAAAAAACCTGAAAAGCAATAAAATCCGAGATCCTTCTTCCACAAGCCGACAAGATTGAAACGTCGGAATGAAAACTTAAATGGACGAAATTCGGAAATAAAGTCGAGAATAAAAATTGGCAGAGCTTCCGCAAGGTTTTTGTGAACTAAAAACTCCCCCTTTCTTTCTAAGTCTAAGTTATATAGAGAGAGTGAAAGTACGGTTGGAAAAATATTTGAGTTCCTAGATTCTTGGTCTTACTGAGAAAATTGAGGAGAAAGTGGCCTTTGGAAGTTGGAGAGAATTTAGGCACATAGCAGAGCTTTGCTTGACCACTTCATTTTGCTTTACCACGTTCTCTTGCTTGACCACGTTCAAATTTAATACATATAAGCTTGTTACGGGCGTGGCTGGGGCGTTACGCTCATTTTTCATAAGCTAGCGCGTTACGGTCGTGGCAGGGTGTGACGACCGTCACACTCTTCTGAAGCGCCTTACGGTCGTGGCAGCTGTGTGACGACCGTAACATCAGCAGAAAATGGATTTCTTGACAGATTTATCTTTTCTCTTTGGTCTTTGGCCGCAATCTCGCGCATTTCACGTTTCTTCTTGGTTTGAGCTGAGATATGTTGTACATGCATAAAACCATACAGAACTCGGAATATTCGAGAGTTAATCGGGTAAATATGACATAAAACGGATAAATTTTATGGTAAATATATGATATGATTTCGCGTTATCAATGTTCAAAGTAAATATACAAACATAATCCAACAAATAGAAAAATACATATAGAAGAAATGGAGAAAAATCAAACATCTCACCGGTTGTCAGTGTCGATTGATGAGAAATCCGACTCCGAATCATCAAAATGCATGATCCATTATTGTTTTCTAGCTTCTATTATCAAAAGAATGAAAGTGATGGTGTTGGGACTCAAAAATACCCAACTCATACCTAAAAATGTGTTTTTTTGCCCTTAAAATGTGTTTCTACCCATACCGTCTCGCCCGATGATGAAACGACTCACCCGACTCTAAAAACATCACTTTTCACGCTCCTGGATCGCCCTGAGCTCGTCCATAAATTTGTCCTTGTTTCCTTAGCATGATCCCTGGCAGCATCCATGATAAGTTCCTTTGAAACAAACTGCATACACATCTCAAACCTAACAACGTCACCACTTTCAGGAACTTTGAAAGTAGGAAAGTTCCTTTTGTGAACAACTTCATCATCACTTTCATCTTGGCCAGACTCTTCATAGGCAGCTTGTGTTTCATTTATGGTTCCACCCTCTTTATTTGTTCCAGCAAATGTCTCAGTAGGTATTTCAGGTGTCCAATCCCATTCTTCTCCATCAACAATTATACTAAAGTCAGTTTCACTTTCACTTTCACCTTCAGTTGCAACACAGTCTTCATCTTCTCCACTAATATATGTATCTTCAACACCTTAGTCATCATTTCTTACCTAATCAATACCTTCATTCTTAGCATCCTCCATAACTTCTTCATTCTCACCTCTAACCTCTTCAGGTTGTGCTTCATCACTTCTAACACCTTCATTTTTGTCATCTTCTTTCTCACCTTTAACCTCCTCCATAACAATTTCTTCAACATTAGAATTAGCTCCAACTTCATCATTTCTAATCTCATCGTCCAAAGGACCTTCATCACCAACTTCAAATATATCAAGAATGTCCACTTCATTTTCAATATAAATATCTACTAAATTATACCATTTAGCATCTTAAACAAGCTCCAACAGGTTACCGTCAGTGTTTATAGGCTTAAGTCCACACTGAAATGATAGCTTTGGATATTGGTTCCATAAACACTTGAACTTCGTATATCCAACACTAAAGACCGGATTCTTAATGTCCTCATAGTTCACTCAATCAACATCAACAGTGTCTTACATTTCATAGACTAGACCCTCCATATACACTTTGACAGGAAAAAAATACAAACTTACCTCCATGATTAATACGTATCTTAAACTTTTCGTCATCACTTAGCATATGCATATCACAACGAGAACAACCAAAAAAACTCTAATTTATAAGACTTCTATTCAATAAAATAACCATAGAACAAAAAACCCTAATTTATATGACATGTTACATACCTGAAACAGTATTTCAGATTCTACTCTTTGTCTTTCTCTGTCATGGTTGAATCGATTTGAAGGAAGGAAAAGAAGAAGATGAATATTCGTGTTTGAGAAGGAAGAGAGTAAAAGAAACTTGAGAATTTTGGAATATTTCTGAAAATATTTTAATGTTTTTGTCTTATTTTAAAAATAAATTTGATGAATTTATAATTAGCATTTTCAAATTTGCATTGTCACATAGGTGCTATTTTGGCCACATCACTTAAAATTTTGACACATCAACATTTTTAGAGGAGAAAATTGATTTTTTTTGTCTCTGTTGAATTTAAAATTCTGGTTTGGCGTTGTGATTGTGATTCCATGTAGAAAATGAAAATATACAATGTCTGTTGGGAGCACTTCTTGGTGCTTGCAAGATTCATAGAAATGTAGAACTAGTCGAAGTGGCTTTTCAACATGTCATTGAGCTTGAACATACAAATATTGATTACTATCTTTTTTTGCATGCTAAGAATATTTTGAAAGTTAGAGTCATGATGAGGAATCGAAGGGTCCATAAGAAAGAGTGTTTTGGGGAATGATGATGATATACATTCATGTACTGACTTTATATACACAAGTGTATCCCTTAGATTATGCATAGACATAATTGCATAATACTATACGAGGAAATAAATTAAAAGACTATTTAACTAGGTACAATAATATACATCAAAGTTATTAATCATAGAATGATTATGTCTTTAACTCTCCCCTCAAACTGATGGTGATGAAGTCACTCAAAGTTTGTCCCTTAGAAGGTTGAATCTTGAGTGAGTAGGAAGGAAGTTAACAAAGAGTAAAGAGATTAAAGATAGAGGATACAAATCTTGCACAATAGAGACCGCTTCAATATGTATTAGACAAACACTACACTAGACATGAAACATGAGTATATTACATTATTAAAGTAACTTTGTAAATTGTTAAATATATATAAGCAGCAAGTACAACATTAGAGAGAACAATCTCAAAAAATTCACTATTGAAATTAACAACTCATAATTGAAGATCCTATTCCTATATTGTGAGACAGATTGTTACAATTTCATAGCCAGACTTATCTATGAACTGGAGTGTACTTTCTTCATAAAATCTTCTGACTGAGGGGCTTCATACTTCATTCATAGTAAGCATTGAGCATTTGAAAAGATATTTTAAGAATAATAAATGTTTAGTAGCCAACATTTTGTAACCATTAGCAGTAGTGTTAAAAATCAGTGACTTCTCATGTTGATGCTATGCCAGCCAAAAGTTCTCTAGACCCTGCTAGGTTTCCTGGTACAAGTTGCCTTATCTCTTCAAATGCACACAAAGTTTCTGAGTCCAAACCTCCAGCAAACTTCATAACAACAAATAAAACACAGTTAGAAATTAGGATAGAAACCCGACTCAAAAGTAAAATGATCTGAAAGAATATGAAAAACAAGAACAATTCAATCACGGAGTTTGGCCAATTGTGCCTACAGATTTCATTTACATCCCTTAGAAGTTGCTAAAAAATTACCTGATGGGCTCTATAAGCAAAATGCACACCCTGCAGTAGAAGAGAATCTTGACTGGATTCTCTGTCTGTGTTTCGAATGGATTCGAGCTCCATTGTCAATCTTTTCATGTACATCTTGACCAGATTCATAGAAGCCTGCTTTATCTGCGTAAAATGGTGAATATCTAATCAACTCAAGTTCTAATAAGTCTCTTCAAAGGCCAATAGGGGCACTAGAATCACTGTTTTACATTTTCAAGAGTAAAAGCATAGAAAACAATACCTTGCTCACTATTCCTGAATCAAGCATCCATGCAGTTGGAATGTTGTAAACTTGATACGAATGTATGGCAGAATTTCGCAACATGACTAGCTTCGGTATGCTCCGCTCAGACCTACCACAACGAGGAACATAATTAGTCCCTCCCACCGATAAATCTATCATATATATAGTTCATAAATAGAATCTTTGCCACAATAATCTTACTTGTCTAATAAACTTGCCATCCTTTTCAAACTAGCTACACATGGAATATCAGGGTCATCCTTGTAAGATGAAATCTCTTGTTCCAACATTTTAAGCTCACGATACTCAACTGCAGCCTCACGCATCGCATCAGCTTTCTTCTCAGGCCACTTAAAATGCTTCAAGACAGCACGCTCATCCGCCTGCACAATATAGGACCATAAGAAGGTATCAGAAACCATTTTTGTTTTATGTACACCGTCAAATGCAGGCTTAAACTTAGGCTTTGTTTGGTCTGACTTATTATCAAAAATCTTAACTGGAAAAGGATGTTATCTTTTATTGTATAAAAACTAGATACAAGAAAATTTTCAAAACTATCTATCTTATGAAGAGTGAAAACGCGAATTGATTGCATCAGTGGCCCCACCAATAAATAACTTTGGCAGAAACTTACCAAAGTAGATAGTTCACCATCAAGCCAATCAACAAACTTGAGGACGTCTTCAATATCGACATAGGCTGCATCAACCACCTTTTTAATAAGGTCATTAATGAACTCTCCTTTTGTTTGAATGTCCAACCTTATCTAGAAACAATGGTCAGTCTTATCAGCCCTCAGAACAATTTCGAAAGTTCGTTAACACAATAAAATGCAACAATGCTTACTGCTAACAGATGAGCCGAACGGTTTTGAATTTCTCCTACAATGCTATTGTGTGCACTGTTAGTTATTGGTTTATGATGATGAGTCATGGATCCTTTGGAGTCTTTCTTCGCGTCTTGAGTTTTTAACGAGTGAAATAGTTGGACAATTGCAGGAGCCTTATGAGTGTTGGCCAATTTAGGCCGAGACGGAATTGGTGGTGGTGGCGGTGGAGGAGGTGGCAGGAGGCATTGATTGGTTGGTGATTTTCTTCCTATACTTGTAGTTTCAGGAATGGCATGACTTGGTGTTGCAGTTGGAATTGAAGCTTTAACAAAAATCGCGTCATGATTAGCTTCTTTTTTGGCCTTAGACCTTTCCAATTTGTCAGCAATGAGTTTTTGTATGTCTTTAAATTTGGAACTCTTGTGTTCTCCAATTGTCTCCTTCATTCAAGAAAAACAAAAATCAAATTCATTGCCAAGAAAACAGATTATGATCTCAATTTTGTACCATCATATGAGTTCCAATTCCAACCAAACACATTGTATGTACTATGAATCAAAACAGAAGAAAAGAAAGCAATGAATATATAAATTTCTCACCTTTCTAGTACTAGTTGTTGCAACAGCTGCTAAATTAGCTTGAGCAGTAGCAAGATTCTGAGTAAGCTTTATATTCTGAGACTCAAGCTCAATTTTCAAGCTTTTAACATGATCTAATTCATCCTTCAAAGCCTTCACCTCAGACTGCAAACTCTTGATCAAACCCTCACTCATCTCAAGCTTCTTAAGCAACTCATTTTTCTCCTTCACATCATGATCATCCTCAACCCTCCTACGCCGCGACCGGGCAACAGAAACAGCAACCTTAGTCTCTTCAACTTCCCTAGTACTACTACCACCTTTGTGAGAACATTCAACCTCTTGAATTGATTTCATCACAATACTCCTTTTGGCCTTTGAATTGTGCTTTAACTCTGGAGGCACTGACTTAGCTCTTGTTGATGGAATGGGAGATACTCTATTAACAATCTCTGGTGGTGTCTTAGGAGAAGCTCTTACTCTTAAACGTGTTGTTGTTGATTGTGGAGACTTGTTATCAGTACTATGTTGCTGTTGTTGTTGATGTTTGAACGAAGTTCTTGGTGTGGTTGATGTTGGATTTTTTTGCTTCATGGTTATGATACTGAAAATGGAGTATGAAAGAAGAGAGAGAAAAGATGAAAAGAAGGACAAAGGGGAAGTACTAGTATTGTAACAGGAACCTGACACGTAGAATATTAAAAAAAAACATAGTTTATGCGACACACGAGTGTGTTGAGTGTGAGTGTGAGTGGAGAAATGATGTATGTATATGTATATGTATGTGGTAGATGGTTGCCATAGATGAACACTTTGAACCTAACCCCACAGAAAGAAAGTGACATAAGGTGAATCATACATCATGTACAGTTAGATGATGTTGGAAAAAACAGAAGAAAAAAAACATTTTATTTTTGTCTGTCTTATTCATCTTGTGTTAGCACATGATATCAATTGTATCCCCTAGGTCTAACTAGTGTCTCTTTTGCTGCTTCCAATCAAATTTATTTTTGGATTCAAATACTCCTATATAATTTAGATATAGTTTTTTTATCAACTAAACATTGTTGGTTATCTTTCAAGACAAGGTTTTGTTTGATACTATTTCGTTTCCTTTTTGATTATAGATTCCGTTCATAAACACAATAAAATACTAAAATAAATTATTAAATAATCTAATTTATTTGTTAAATTGATAAAAAATTGTTTTAAAATATATTTAATAATTATAAAGGGGAGGAACACTTTGATAAGACATACCTAATGTTTGTAAGAAACTCTTTGATGTCAAAATCAAATTTATAAAGGTCGGTTTGTATATTGTATGACATTCCTTTCTTTATCTTCACGGCTAATTGAGTTCAAGCAAAGGCAGTTAGTTACATAACGTAGGGGGAATCAAGTATTAAGAAAGAAAAAGAAGCTAACATATTCAAATATTTGTTAATTGGCCGAGTTAAAATAAAGCAATTCATTCTATATACAAAAATTAAAGCAATTTACTTTAAATAATAATATATTATTGATAAAAAAAGAGTCAAGCTAACTTGTACTCTAAATGTACAAAATCAAAAATTAATTAATTAATTTTTTAAATTAATTAATACTTATATTATTATTATTATTATTATTATTATTATATTTTTAATTTAATTAAAAAATATTTAATATTAATAATTGATTCATCAAATATAATTAAAGATAATATATAGTAAATTTTATTTTGACCGAACATAAAATTAAGAAAATTAATTATATTTAACAAATTTTCTTAATCAATATAAAAGTAGTTATTTTTGTCTTATAATTATTACGGGAGAGTATGTGTTATTATATGTGTTAATTGAGTTAAATGCATAAATTGTTAGTTTAGTTCAATTTTTTATAGCATCATTTAGTTATATTTATAATATTAATGTAAATAAATTATTTATAAATCAATAACTTATTTTTTAAAATTATATTGGTAATAGTGTAATCATCTAGGTTGAATAAATTAAGCTGTCATTTAACTAATAACATAAATTTGTTTTTATTTTGTTTAACCATTATTAATTATAGAATTTTAAGTTTAAAACTATTGCATTTATTGTAAAAATAATATAGGTATTTGTATATATAATTAAAAAAAATATATATAGATGTTTTTGTATATATTTTAAAAAATAATACAAAAAATAACATCATAATAAGATATAAATTCCATTAATGAAATATTTTTCATGTTGTTAGTCTTTATTTAATTTTTTATTTTAATAATGTTATGGATATTACTTTTTTAAAAATAAAATTTAGGTTTTAAATATTTAATTTTAAATAAAAAAACAAAATTTTATTTAATTTCAAAATAAAATAAAATAAAATATTATACTATTTTTAATTATTATTGTTAAAAATGAAAGGAGAAAGAGAAGCAGTGCATGCAAATGCATCCAAAAAATAGCCTCGCAAATCTATGTAGTAAATAGGCATGGAATCAAGTAAAGCAAAACCACTAACAAAAAGATGTACACCAATTCTTGAATCATGATTCATTGTCGATAAAACAATATTCCATAGGCCCCAATAACTTACGTAGTAACCATAAAAAGCAGTTTTAAAAAGGGAATATATAAAGGTGGTATTAAATATAAAATTAAATTACAATTTTTGTTTTATAAAATATTTAAAATAAATTTTGAGTAGTTATGGATCCGTTTGTTATAACAACACAAAAAACATTCAAGGAAATACAACGTTTGATTTATGGACAACGTTTGATTTGTTTATAAATTTTGTTTCATTACTTAATTGGGCAAAACATGAATGATTGATAATGTTTAACGTATATGCCAAAGGTGTATTGGTTGGTGTTATATATGTACAATTTTTTCTTACCAAACATTTAGAATCCGTGAAATATGAATAAAGTTCAGAAGCATATCCACATGTGACAATGCATGAATGTGTGCATGAATGTGAGAGACAAAAAAAATCAAAAACCACCGTTTACTACTCACTATTTTCTTGCCACATTTCACATAACACCAAATGCAAAAAACATTTTTATAAATCACATGTTTTGTCTCTATTCCTTTGATCAGAAATTAATTAATTACATAAATACCTGCCTAAGAACTTGTTGTATATTTCACATGAATCATCAAGAAACTCTCTCCAAGCTATGCCAATAAAATCTCTTTGATGTCATTATTTAGTAAAAAATATGAACATGTATAAATTTTGTGTAAGAGATATATAGATGAAATATGGTTAAAAAGAGAAAATTGGTACCTTGGCTTTTAGGAACTACTAGTCCCACTTTTCACCAATGAGTTTAGGTGGTTATATATACTTGTCTTACATGCTTTTTTTTTCTTCTTTGTGGCAATTGATATTTGATTATGAGAGAGTTGGAAATGTATGATGAAGAGGAAGGCTATGGAGAGAAAAATGGTTGTAGGTGGGTTGAGTATATAGGTAAATAAGTGATTCCCTTTGAAGTAATACTTTAAATATTTTAAGGAAAAATTCCAAGTTTTCACTGATTTGTTGTGACTTCATGTCAAGGAGGTTGTGATTGTCTTTTGTAACTTGGGTCTTGAATTCACGTGCTTAAATTCTAAACCCTCTTGCCATAGAGGTGTGAACACAAAATTAACCCTTTTCTAGTTGGTACATCAATATAATTACAAGAATTAAGTATCTTAAGATGGTTATATCAAACTAGTTCTTAATTAATTTCTTAACAAACTTCTAACAATATCCCTTTGGAGCCAAAACAAAAATTTATGTCTTTTTCTTACGGATAATGGGTGGATTTGGGTATCTTATATTCACACCATCATACTTTTTGAGTTTAGGTTTAAGTATGATTAGTTAGCAAGACAATTTATTAAGAGTAAAGATAATTACTACACATAGTATAAAATTTTGTTATGATAAAACCGTGATTAGATAAGATTTTTTAATATATTTGTTACGTTAAATTGTAATTAAATATTGATCGTATTTAATTAGAATGGATCGTCGCAGCTAACTCGAGCAGATCTTGAGTGAGTTAGGGGGTACCTGCAAGACACTCTGATGTCAAAGTGAGTTTCAGAATGAGCAAGTAAGTATGAGAGTTAGAAATATCCAGTACATGGCCCTCTCAGAAGAGAGAGTATTTATAGTCCCCAGCGATGGGCCAATGTCTCCATTGTTGTACCACATTGAGACCCAATAACGGAAACTGTCAGGGCTTACGTGTGTATAGAGTCCAGCAAGTGAACTTCCCCTTGGTCAACTGCTCCGTAAGAGTAGGGGTTGGACCTGTAATTTCCGAAGGGCAGTTAAGATTACTTTGACATGATGATGTGGGCCACGTTCTCCAACAGATATGTGGGGAGTTGCCCAACGGTCCCTAACTTGGGTTGTTTGTTTTTGGGCCTTATGCAAAGGTGTTGGTTTGGGCCTCCTATATGAGGGGCAAGTGGAGGCCCAGTCCAGATCAGGAGCCCCCCAAGTTATTGCCCTTAAGTGAAAGGGTGATGACTTAAGTTCAGCTTTCATGACCGGAGACTTGATCGGGAAGGACGGTCAAAGTCCTCTGAAAGGAGTGAGTTGTTGCCCGCATGGTGGACAACCTATTTAAGTGTGTCGGGGATATTATGGGTGAACAAGCAGTGAGACCGACAGAGTCAGTTGCTTGCTCGAGAGGACCGTATTAGTTACGGGGAGCCTCTACGATATCTCTTTTGACGCGTCCGTCTTCAAGGGGTTGTTGAGATGTCGAGCATTATTTCGTCCTTGAGGTAGTGTAATGGATATGCCCGTGTACGCACCGTAGCGTCGAACATTCCCTCGTGTGGGGTATCTGTCTCGTGCTCGTATGGGGATTACGTGTTGGAGTCGGGGATATGCTCGTTGATCTAGAAGGGACACGTGGCTGACTGTTGATCCACGTGGCTTATGCTTTGGGGTGCCACCCCTTCAAGGGGAAACCTAAAAGGCCCAATCCAATGATGACTTTCGTGATGGACCTCGTGGGGCGTGAGTCACCTATAAAAGGGGGGGCTCTGGGTCTCATTTCTCATTTTCTCAAGTTCTCCTTCAACTTCTCTTGCTCGTGCGTGAAGTTATCCTCCCAAGTTTCCCAGATTTATTCTTCAAGAGTTCTCCATCCAAGTAAGTTATATCCCCTCAACAACATGTTTTTTCAGCATTTCTGGATTAAACATTTAAAATTTGCCTTGACTGGATGAATATTTATGAGTTCTATGATGAACAGTTCATTGAAGTTCGTGAGTTCTGCGACAAACACTCATGAATTTTCATTGATATTCATTAGTTATGACGTCGGAGGAGATCTCCCCAAATAGTAACCATGATACAGGAGCGTTCTCCCCGGATAACAGGGGTTGACTCGGGCTTCTTGCTCGTTAAATGAATATCTCCCACGACAACGTAGTCTCCCAATGAAAACTTAGTCCGCTTTAGCGTATAGTCGAAGGCTTGGGTCGAGTTTGTTGCCCTTTCACTTGATTTGCGATGGAAGGCTGAATTTGATAATGTCAAAGTCACTATTTTCCCTTGCTTTTCAGGTATAATGGCGCACTCAGTCGGGGATGACA